AAACATACAAATGTCTACATACATACATGCATACATACACATGAATGTGCCTGAATATAAAAATATATATGTATATAAATATACTCGTAAATCAGCGTTTGTCCATTTGTGCAGCCCTACTTGAAGATCAGCTGAATCATACTAACTGTGAGCGAAAAAGCGAAAGGTGGGTAGATGAGCTTCGACAGAAGTAGTTGTGGAAGTACGAGCAAATACATATACATACGTACATGCATATGCACGGTGTATTGTAGACCTACATACGAGATTCATAAAAAAAAATGTAAGAACTCAACTTGAAAATTTGGTCAGGGCTTCCCGTTTGCCGCTCAGCCATCACCTTAAAATGCTCGCAACACATCGACATACGCACCGGCGCTCGCTTGTTGGGTGGAGTTCGTAGCTGCGGGTTGCGAGGTAATACTCGTGCATATGTACATATGTATGTAAGCAAGTCCAAAGCCTGGCTAAACTGACTTGACTGACAGCCGTCAACGAGTGCTAGTTAATACCTAGCTCTACATAGTGCGAGCGATAAGCGAATGTTTGGTATCCAATCCGAGCTGCGGTATTCAGAGCTTGATGACATCATTTTTTGGTGCGAGTGATGATCGGTCGGCCGGTTGGTAGGTCGGTCGATAGATGGATGGGTAGATGGTTGTGCGGCGCGGTGTGTGTTTATGGAAATCTCTTGCAATGGCACATAGCAAATAGTTCTTATACGACGCAGCTTATGAGCAGTTATAGTTTGTTGAGTTGTGCTCTTAGCACATGGACTGTTGCTGTTATTGTTGCTCAACGACGCTTGATGTCATATGCTTTGCTGTTTTTTTACTTTATTTTCACAGGGTTCTCCAATAAGAGGTGTTATTTCGATATTCAAAGAAAAGTGGTATTTTTGAAGATAAGTGATCGGATGTTTATTTAAATGTAAAGAGGAAGATCTGCCAATAATAATGGAAAGCAATATCAGCCAAATGGTTGCCAAGACTACGCTTACAGAACTGTATCTCTTTTATGAAATTTCCCAACACCAAACCGTAAAGTGGCCGCCGTGTGCCCTCAATAGCTAAACAAAAGCCATGTTTGAGGTCTCGAATTGTTGTTGGACTGTCGGTGTAAACTTTATCTTACAAATGGCTCCAAAATAAGAAGTCGCAAGGTGTTAAATCAGAAGAGCTCGGTGGACAACTGCGGTCACCTCTTCGAGAGCTAGCACGGTCCGAGGACTTCTGCTTTAAAAACTCGCTGCTTGGCTGGTACGTAGCAGCGTTTTGTTGAAAATAAATGTTGTCTACTTCATTGTCATCCAATGGCGACTATAAAAACTCATTAAACATCTCTCGAAAGCACAATCCATACACCATAAGTGTTGCTCCAGCCTCATTTTCGAAAAAGTGCTGTCCAACGACCAGGCCGGACCATAAACCGCACCGAACGGTTACACGTTGAGGGTGGAGAAGCTTTTCAACAATAAATCTTGGGTTTATCGATCCCCAGATGTGACAGTTTTTCTGATAGACGTAGATATCGAGGTGGAAATGAGTCTCATCACTCAAGTTGATTTTTCGATGAAATTCTGGATCATTTTCATGCATTTCAAGTACCCAATCAACAAAGACACGACGTTGTTGATGATCGCCCGGCTTGAGTTCTTATATTAACAGAACTTTATAAGCCTTAGCTAACCAAGTCTTTGTGCAAAATATGGACAAAAAAATGAACAAAACTAGGGTGTCTTCAACACTTTAAGCTACAACAGCAATATTCTGTTCTTGAGCGACGTGCACGTTACTTATTCTTTACATCCCTAACTTGTTCCAACAGCTCCATGAGTTTCTGAATCGAGATCCGGTAAGGTGCTTCAAAAAAATGTTTTATATTACGAACCGTCTTCGCCAGGATTTCACCCATTTTTATAATGAATTTTAATCATTCTAATGCGCTGTTGAAGCGTTTATGGTTCCATTTTTATTACTGCCAATCGGAAGGCTCGGGTTTAAGTACTGGTATCGTACCAACATCCAAAAACTTATAGAAAATAATTTAAATTAAAAATTAAGTCAAATTTTCTTATTGCGATCGCCCTCGACAGGGAATGTCAACCCCCCTCGGAGGATATTTCTGACATTAAATAAACGCTCCTCATATAAAAACCATTAGCCGTGTGGAGGCGGCTTAGTATAAACTGTAGGTACCTACATTTGTTAGAAAAACAGCAAGACGTAAAAGGAGGAGGAGCTCGGTCGAAAATTGCTGAAGCGATTACAAAACGACAATTATATATATTATATATATTATATTATATTATATATATATATATATATATTCTATATATATATGTATTTTGACTTGTCAAATGTTAAAAAACTACAGCTCCAAAAGTGACATCTACCGGAATAGTAGGCCATTAAAAATAACACCTCTTATTGGAAAACCCTTTACATACTATGTATGAGCATATTTAAATGTAAAAATTTTTTAACGCAGCCAGGAGCGGAAGAGTTGAAGAGTTGCTATTGAAATGAGCTGAGCCCAATTTCTCAGTCATGACTATTTCCTTGGAAAAGAACTTTTAAAAACATATGTTTTGAATTTTTTCTACAATATATGACATACTTCTATTATCGCCTTGCAATGGCACAAGTAAACGCAACGTTTGTATGTTTGTATGTATGTAAATGCTACAAATTGTGCAATTAACTCATCTCCTCCCTTCTCATTCTTCATTTTCACTGTTCGCCTGTTAGAGTTGACAAAGGGCAGGTAGCAAAAATGCAAATTTCCATTACAGTTATTTACGGTAAATGAGTCATCATTAAGCGAAACAATAGTTAACTGGTACAGAGACAAGCACGAGCCTTATGGGCGATCACAGGCTCACATATATAAATAAATATCACTTAACATACACATACATATGCACATAGGTTTGTATAAAGCCCCGTGAGTATTTGTTGACAAATGATTACGCTTGGGTTCTGAATGTGAAGACAGTAAGTGAGGTTAGGAAATGTGACATGTTAATAAAGGTTTGGAAGAGGGGAAAACTGGGCATATAAATGACGAGCTGGCGATTTTTCTGAGTATTCTTTAATAAGAGAACTTCTGTACATGCTCACCATGAGATCTTCTCAAAGTAATTTTCAAAATCATTGTTTTTCTCTGAAAATCTGAAAAATTTGCCTCAACGATGAAACATCCTCAAATGAGAACGGGCATGGAGGATTGTACAAAGTATGGTTGTCGAGAATACTAGACTCTACCATAAGGAAATTCATCAAGCTCATCTCTCCGTATAGAAAGACTCCAAACCAGATCGATCACTTTATGACGGCATATCTCGAGTGTTATAGAGCTTCTGGCACCTAACAAGGACTCGTATCATTATCTGATGGTAGCGAACATATGCATACGCCTCTGGGTAGCACAGGGCGCCCGTCAGCAAACACAAAGAAAAAAGCTGTAACCACAAAAGACAGTCACAAGTTTCTACCCGACATCCGCTCTGGGAAAACACTAAACATCAACTCGGTTAAGTGGAGTGTGGGACACTAAGTACACCTGCAAATGAAAGAATTGCTTTACTGAAAGATCAAAAGTAGAGCCGGTGCAACTGGGATTGTCATACCATATCGCAAAGAAGAGAAAACAGGTTGCTTACCTCGCAATGTTGGGATGGAGCGAGACGTGCTTTGCGTTAGAAAGATACAATTTTTTGAGGAAGGAAGCGAGACGCATTTGCAGAAAAAAAAGCGGCAGGTCAAATTTCGTGAATATATGAAGACCTTGAGAAGCTTGCCGACAGGGCTAATGATAGAAAATTCTAACCGAGACCGGAGCACACTGCTGTAAGACCCAGCGCTGTGATTCAGCAAATGATGGCGCAGAGTCATGTGAAAAGAACATCTCTTCTGTCTGGCAGTAAAACTGAAACACCAGGATATGGGTAGTCTGGTATTCCATTCATCATCCGGCAAAGAAGAGGTTCGAATAGGAACTGCACGCCTGAAGGATTAAAACTAGCTGAGGGTGCTTATAGATTATAGGCCAAGCCATTCAAAAATGTTCGCGGAGAACGATTTATGGATTTTTGAATACCGAGAAAGATCAGGAGATTAAGAGACAACGGCTATGTTGGCTAGGTCATATTATCCAGTGTGGGCAACAATATGGCAGTTTTAAAAGTTATCGTCGCAGTAAGTGGTGTCGGAGTAGAAAAAGAGGAGCTCTCATCTTCGTCGCATAGATCAAGTTGATCAAGTTTGGTGCATCGAATAGGCGCCGAATGGCTAAATGTGGAAATGGATTGTGCATTATTGTAAACTCAGTTACAATCGCATAAGTTTTGTCTACGCCGCATAAGAAGAAGAAGAAGGTATATTTAGGTGTAGCCTCATGGTTTTCTAGATAAATTTGATCATGTCTAGAAGAAGGCACCCAGCCTAAGCCAAAGCAATAACTTTCGTCTGCAATGAGTCTAAGCCCTTTGTTGATATGCAGAAGACTCAACCGCAAAATCTTCCCGTCCAGTTTCGACCCATCCGTAATTAAGTTTAGAAGGGCTATTTACTCGCTCTACAGATTTCTTTTACACCTATCTCGTCAGTCAAGTCCTAGTTTCTTTAAGTTTTGATTAGACTGAAGTACTCTGCATTGGGTAAAAGGATAGTGAGTTGAGTGTATAGTATGTGTTGGAGAAAAACTTTATTTCCAAGGATTGACTTTTAAAAATATTATGGGCAAGTCGTTTATATGATCACTTGAGGCTTGTCGATCTCACTCGAGCCTAAGTCGTTTACATTTTTCTTTACTGATTTCGCAATGAGCTAAACTGTGATTGGATGAAAAGGCTTGTCGAGGATCCAGGAATTTTGTTCTGTAAAAGAAATTATCGCGGAGTCGAAGGGGATTTTCTATATCCAACTAAATAACCAGGAAACAGAGAGCCGAGCGCCATTTAATGGGTAAGAATGCTAATAAAGTAAAGTTCTACTCACCTCGTCGAGTTCGGCTCTTGCAGGTCGTTTCCGCCTATTGGGTTGCCATTATTTTCCTTGCTCTCCTGCACCGCATCATTATATTTGAAGAGGCATTTGGTTAATGCCCCAACGAGATCTTCATTGGCAAAATTTTCAGTATTTTTTGTTGATGTCTTGCTGCCGCTGCGTGGAGCTTTCTGTGCACGTTGTTCTGAAGCTCCAAGTGATGCATGGCCTTCGCCACTGCCACCGGCGGCGGTTTGAAATGCATTTGTGAGCGGTATTATCATATCCATGAACTCGGATTTGAGTAACGAGCACATTTGCAAAATTTGCGATTGTGTGCAGTCGGGTATCGTAGTTGCGTTGGTATCACAGCCGGCGCCAATATCGCCACCATAACTGATATTCGAGGTGACAGATGAGCGCAATGAAGGCTTTGGCGCTGACATGATTTTTGCACTCTCCCCCACCACCGAGGCGGGACCAAGTGTGGCGATGCGCGCGCTGCGTGGTGTGCGTGAGGAATTTAGCGGCGTCACAGTTGGTGCAGGCGGTGGTGAGTTCATGGGATTGCGACGTTTCTTCAACAAACACCCCTTTTCCGCGTGCAAATCAGCACGACTGCTGGAGACACTTTTTGGGCGCGTGGAAAATTGATCGCGGCTTGTGTTGATCAATGGTGAGGTGCGCGTTGACGGCGGGCGTGAGGTGCTGGCGCGTGAGCTATGGCGCGAAGGGTGTTGACTGCGTGCTTGTTGTTGTACATGCGCTTGCGTCTGTAGTTGTTTGCGTGTTAGTGCCTTTGGTGCGGTGAATGAAAGTGTTTGCTTTTGCTGTTGTTGTTGCTGTTGCACTAGTTTCTGCTGCTCCAGCTGCTTGAGTTCATCCGCGCGATCGCGCATTTTCTGCTGCCGCAATTGCTGTTGGTGCAATTGTTGTTGTTGCTGTTGCACGATAATACAACGCTGATGCTCCTCCAATTGTTGTTTGAGTTTTTGTTGTAAATTATTAGATTGCTTGACAATTTCCTCGGCAGACTTTCTATTGTTGACCAGAATGGTGTTGCTGACGCTGCGCCGCTCGCCGTTGTCCCTCTTCAGCTGTTGCCGTTGCAACGACTGCTCTTCGTACGCTTGTTGATGCAACAGCTTCTGTTGTTGTTGTATATGCGTGTCATAGTTTTCGGTGCGTTCGCGCAAAGTAAGCTGCTGCTGACGCGCGCTGTGTTGCGGCTTCAGCTGTAGACACTGTAGTTGTTGTTGTTTGCTCAACTTGAGCGGCTTGTAGTGCTGGTGTGGCGCAAATGACGTGTTGCATTTTTCGAGTTGTTGTTGTTCGCTCTTGTGTTGTAGCTGCTCCTTCTTACTGTTTTGCTGCGGCTCTTGCTGTTGCTGCTGCTTTAACTGTTGTTGCTGTTGCTGCTGTTGCTGTTGCTGCTGTTGCTGCTGCTGCTCATTCACTTTATTTTTGTCCGGCTTCATTGCAATCACGACATCGAAATTACTTGAGTTGCCCTCAAAGCTCGCGAAATCCGAACCGCTCTCGCTCGCCACATCGCCCTCACCGCTCTCGTCCAACTTGAAGTTATCGAAAAGCACTATTTTGCCGTCGCTCAACTTGTTGTTGTTGTTGTTGTTGCTGCTGCTGCGACTGGTATTCTTGTTGCTGTTGATATTATTATTGTTATTGCTCGTTGTCTTATTCTCACCGGCATATTCAACGCGGAAGCAACTCATGAAGTCGCTATTCTCAGTGTTTTCGCTCCGTTCCTGTGGTTCGCTGGGGTCGGACGGCTCGGTGGGGTCGGTTGGTGCATCACCGGCTTTGTCTGTAGCATCTTCTTCTTCATCATCAACACTGTCGCTAGCGTCATTATCTTTTTCGTCGTCGTCGTCGTCATCATCGTCGACGTTACTGACATCATCACAGTCGTTATCAGCGCCATTCTCATCATAGTAATTATCATCATCATCATCATCATCATCACAAACACCCGTTTCGCCGGCTTTCGCTTTGTCTCCACCACCGCCGACACCTCCGCAACAGTCGTCGCCGTCGCCGTCGCCGTCGCAATCGCCAGCTCCAGCGCCGAAGAAGTCGGCCGCTTCGTTGCGTTTGGTCGATTCGCCACTGTTCGAGTGGCGTTGCCGGTTGTGCGGCCGTTCAGTTTCAGTTTGCTTAGACGTTCTCAACACTACGGTCGGTTGTACGCGGTTATTGTGCATTTCAGCAATTAGCGAGTTGCGAGTAACAATTAGTAATTGTGTGGGTTTTCGTGGCCAAATACGGTTATACGAAGTAATTAATTTTTATGAAAGAGAAAAAAAAAACAAAACAAAAGCATTAAATATTAATTTTGAAAATATTTGGAAATATTTGTAAAATAACAGTTAAACACCAAACAAAGAGCAATAAGTGTGTGTTGTCACTAATATTATACTTGTTATTGTTGTTATAACAATTAGCGTGTTAGATTGAAGTACATAGAATATCATATATATATATGTAAATAAATATATATACATACATACATAAGAAAAATTTGAACGTACAATTAGAATAAATTTGTATTTATAAACAAATGTGTACATACATACATACATATATATGTAAACTAAGAATTTACTCCTTACGTTTCCATAAGGAATACATATGTATTGTACATATACTTATATGTATTCATGCGTGAATTTATCAGCTGGCATTGTGTACAAATAAATCTAATATTTATATAGATAAATTGCTTTTTATTTAATTGCTTCGCATTGCGTATTGAAAATATAATAAACGAAAGTACGCACAATCAATACCAAAAATGCTTACTTTTTAAAGTAATTTAACGGTTAAATTAAAAAGTGTGACGATTTGTTTGTGAACAATAAATACAGTGGCCACTACTGAAAAGTGTTTTAAAGTATTCTAAAAAAAAAAAACAAAAAAATGAAAACAATATAATTTTCTTATAAAACGAAATTAAAAGCAAAAAAAATTTATTAAAATATAAATATGTAATTAAAATATACAATTAAAATAAAGAATTAAAATAAAAATTAAAAATGAATAAAAAATTTAAATACAAAAATATGATTTTCTTATAAAATGAAAAAAAAATAATTTTCTTATAAAACGAGATTAATAAACAAAGAATATATAAAAATATTTAAAATAAAAAATAAAAATAAAGAAATAAAATAAAAATTTAAATAAAAAAACAATTTTCTTATAAAACGAGATTAAAAACAAAAAAAAAAATATATATATAAAAATTAAAATATATAATTAAAATGAAGAATTAAAATAAAGAGTCAACGTAAAAAATTAAAATATATAATTAAAATAAATAATTAAAATAAAAATTTTTATTTCATATAAAATAAAAAAATAATAATTTTCTAATAAAACGAGATTAATAAACAAAAATTAAAATAAAAATATTTAATTTTCTTATACAATGAAAATTTAATAATTTTCTGATAAAACGAGATTAAAAACAAAACCGAAGAAATATTTAAAAAATTTGAATAAAAAATGAAAAAAAATTTTTAAAATAAATAATTAAAATAATGAATTTTGATACAAAATTAAAATAAAAAAATTAAATAAAAAAAAAATTATTCTAGTCAATATTTTTTAAATCTTGCTATCGAAAGAAATTAATCTGTTCTAAATTATTTTTTCTTATTTATTAAGCTCGTTTTATGATCAAAATCGTTATTTTTTTTATTTTATAATTATTATATTAATTTTCTGCTTTTTTTATTATATTTTTTATTTTAATTCTTTGTTTTAAAGTTTTTTAGTTTAAAATTATTTAAATTAAAATAAAAAATTTAAATAAAAAATAAAATAAAAAAACAGAACAAGAACTGAAAATAAAAAATAATTATAAAATAAAAAAAGTATATTTTTACCATAAAACGAGATTGACAAACAAAAAAATAATTTAAAGTAGATAAATTACTTTTGATATCAAGATTTTGAAAATAATGACTACAATTTACTTCAGTGGGGCAAAATAGGAGTATAAAATCAATCGATGACGGATCTACTCCTTGCAGAATAACATTAACCTTCTTTTCCAATTTAAAATAAACAAAATGTATTTTGAAAATTTTTTTTTAATGAATTTTCTTTTTTATTATAAAGTTTGAGCGTTTGCATTATATGTGAAACCCCACATCATACAAATGACCGTCTCGAGAGTTTTTCCAGACTTCAATCCTTTTTAGGTATAATTTTCGACCACTTTTTGGTACACATCGGGCGGTATCTCAGCCATAACTTGACGAAGATTGGTTTTCAAGTGCTCAGAAGTTCAAGGTTTCTCCACCTAAACACGCATAGCTCCACAAAAAAGTGTAACGGTCTCAGATCACACGATCTTGAGGTTCGATCGATATCGCCAAGACAAAAAATCACGCGGCCGGTGCATAGTTTTAATCGTGAGTTTTTTTTGCTTTATTGAGAATTCTTGGAGATACAAATGCAAAAACTTTGCTTATTTACGTATCCACCGAGTGAGCAATGTGTTTTGTCTCTGAAGAAAATTTTGTTGTTCAAGCACCCAATCGACGGATGTATGTACGGCCGGTGTGAATAGTCAGCTGGCTTCAGTTATTGTGTGAACTAAACTTTTCATGGAAGTGGGTTTAAGTCCAAGTGTCAAAATACGTCATAACGTCCCATTAAAAAGTGCCAGCTTTTGAGAACGTGGACAACGACTACACTTTCAGTAGCGACGTTTAAGGTGGAACGAGTTATACAAAATCTAAAGCCCATCCCGTCTCTTTGAATTGCTTTAAGATTTTACCAATTGGTTGAGTAATTGGACGATTATGCAACATAATCTCCTCTTCGAGCATGACATGTGGCCACGTTAGAATCACTCTTTTTGTAGAAAGTTCTAAGAATTCTAACACATTGTGCGGTTGTGAAGTGATTCATACAAACTGCCCATCAGATTTCAGATAACGACGATTTATTATTCAGAATTTGTAAAAATATTTAAAACAAATCTCATAAGAGTATGCACAAGCGATTCAATCCATTTATATAAATGCAATGTGATATGAAGAGTCAACGCAGCTTTTCTTATAACAATTCTACTCAAGATTGTATCATATTTGACCTATCTAACTAAACGCCATTCGAACCGTTTGCCGATTTCCCCAATAAATATTTCCTTCCCAAGGAGCACAGCAGATTAGTTTATACAGGTCTGCTAATGGACTTCTAACTGACCCTTGGCATGGTTGTCGGTCCCGAAATGCCATTGTGAATGTCAATCTAATTGGAAATTACATCCGTTTGAAGTCTATTGGCATATCGTTGGGAAAAGCAGGAATTCATTGTTGTACAACATCTTTCCCTGGGAATCTGTCTTTCAAAATACTGGCTTCGACAACAACACTAAACATTCGTATGTTTTTCGAGCTTGTAATTTAATGTTATCGAAAAAAATTTAACTTTATTATACAAATCAGGGCTTGGCTTTATGTTTTAAAAATGATTTCGGGCGGGTGACCGCCGTGGAGGTCCAATTTTTATTTTTTGTAGGCGCATATGTCAGGAATAACGCGTTGAATATTCTCTTTCAAGACGTCAATCGTCTCGGGTTGATATGCGGATACCAGCGACTTTCATGGACACAAAAATAGTCCAGTTGTGTAAAAGCACACGATTCTGGACCTGACCTGGTCACAGATAAATGACGCGAAATAATAAACTCATAGATTAATTGATTATCTCTTTGATTGTATGGCATAAAGCGCCATCATGCAGGAACCAAAGGCCATCCATATCAACATTCTCCAATTCAGGCACCAAAAAGTGATTAATCTTGGCTCTATAGCATTCTCCACCATTATGAAATTATGGCTGTCTTCATTTTTGAATAAATATGAACCATTCATTCGCTCTACCTAGTAACTTTTTGAGAATGTAATGGCGTCCCATAAATGGCTTGTGGATTAACATCCAAATGCGACAAATTTGTTTATTAACGTATCCATTCAAACAAGAGTGGCCTTCATCGCTGAACAAAAATTTCCTTAGAAAAATGGGATCGATTGTCACCTCATTTTGAGCCTATTCGCCGAATATACAACGCGCTTGATGATCGTTTGGCTTTAATTCTTGCGGGAGTTGGACTAGGTTAGCTCGTAACCCAAGATCCTTTCTCAAAATCTTCGAAAAAGTGGATGCGCACAGCTCTTATAATTGAGCGCGAAGGCGAATGCGTGCGTATTGTATGGCATCTTTGCGCCTTATCCAATAGAGTTAAGGTGGTATGGTTGGTGGTTGATGGTTCTGCAGACCGAATATAGGATGCAGTGCGCGAGCAAATCGCGAACCGAACCATGTTGGAGACAAATTTGCAAATATTATTTCGGAGTAAGTCTGAACATTGTTAAATGACTAATCAAACCGGGTACAAATCAAGTAGCAACTGTCAAAAAGAGCTACTCCGAAAAAAGTACTAAAACTTCCCATAATGTTTTCTCTGGTGATTTTCAGAAAACTCTTCTAATTCTTAAATTATTAAATTTATTGCTAATTTTTTTTAATAAAAATTAAGCTTTTGATAATATAAATATCAATTCTCGCCTACTGTAAGTATGCTGAAGGTGGTTTGGTGACATCGCGGTTTTCGTAACCTTCTATTCTATAAACTTAAATTATTTTTAAATACTTTTAATAATTTTTTCTTTAGTTTTAGAAAATTCTCTGAATACTTCTGAAGTTATGTTCAAACACGCATTGGTATATTATTGAAATAAATCAAAACTTTGTATGATATATATATATATATATATATAGATATATATATATATATGTCAATGCACGCACACTTTTAATTGAATGAAGTTGTTTTGATGACGTCAACGGTTGTCGTAACCTCTTCCGCTATAAGCCTTGACAGAAAACAATATCAAAACGAGGGTTGTTGGGAAATTCTTTAGAAAAGTGTAAGGATTTGTAAAAAATAAATTCGTGATTACTTTCTAAATAAAAAAAGAAAAAATCTTTATAAAAGAAGATACAAAAATGTTTAATATACGAGTATGTGCACAAAAAAAAAAATATTTTTTTCGTAAAATGTAAAAAATCCAGTAAATATTTCCCAGAATGTCTTTTAGCAAAAACTTGCGCACAGCTTAATATGTTGCCCTTTGACTTTTTAATTGTGGAAAAAAATTTAAAAGAAATAATAATAAAAATTCAAAACAATAAATAATGCAAATTTATTATTATTTTAATTTGTTTTATTGCACTACTATTTCTACTACAGTATATCCACACACGCATACGTACATACGCATATTTATTCATGAACAGCATTTGCGGTCTTAGCGGGTAGCTTTTGCGGCTTTGGCGACATTGAATAGCTTTCTAATATTACCGACTCATTTTTCTTTCATCTTTTTGTCTACATTTTCTCGTTCTTTGAAACGCAATTTGTATTAACCGAAGTGGTGCGGGGGTTGGCATCATAGTTAAATGGGATTGCAGTCAAAGTGATATATGTGAAGTTAGTTACATTTGTATATACTTATAAATGAATAAATTTGTATTAAAATTCATATAAAATAATGCGTATTTATTTAATATGTATTTATTTTTCGAAACTACCCTTAAAATGTCTTAGTTTGTGTTTCCCATTAGGGATGTGCTTATTTTGAAAGAAAGAAATTTTTAGTCAAAAGTTGCATTTTTTTGCAAAATATTTTACTGTAATGAAAATAGATTTTAGTTTATTAAGTCACGATTTATTTTGGACAAAAAATTTCTAATAGACCTAGCATTGAAAATTCGCCAAAAAAAGTGGATAGTGGGACGGCACCTTTACGTCAGACGTAGTTGCTGTCAAAAATTGCGACGTGTGACCACTATAAAATTGGTATTTTAAAATAAATTTCATATAATTTCAGAAACAAAAATTTCAGTGTGTTATTGCAATCATTTACATGCAATTTGATTTCTGAAATTAAATTTCCAATTGCTGGTGCTGCACTAGCAATGTGTTCCTTGAAAGGAATATTGATAAATTTTTGGCAAATATGTTAATTCTCAGAAAATGAAATTCAATTTCCATAACATTTTTTATGCTCCATGATTGATTGCTCCTGAAATTAAATTTTGAAATTTGTTACATGCAATTTGAAATTAATTAATTTCTTCTTCTGACGGTACCTTAATGGTTATTACCATTGATATGATTTTTTTTAGTTCTTATGTTTAGACTTTCAAATTCAATTTACTTTCCGAACTTAAGGTTCAATATTTTCCCACAGAACTGTGCAATTCGTTTTGAAATCAGAAAGGCTGTTGTCAAAAATAAATAACGAAGTGACAGTTCGGCTGGAACCAAATATTGAATATTAAATATACTGTTCTTATTAATATTAAAAGCCGGACGACTCATCGACTTTCGCAGAAGGACTCAAGCGATTATATGGCTTAATTCAGTCAAAATTTGGTCTATTTTCAACACATTTTTAAAAAAAAAAAATTAAATTTTTTATAAACTATTTAATACTTTTTCCCTGTCTCAAAACAAACATTTGGAAAAGAAATTTTGAAAATTTTTAAAAGAAAATATGCTAAATTACACCATTATTATTATCCGAAGTGAAAACAGAAAAAAAACATGTTTCAGCTAATAGAATTAGGTCAAGGGAAAAACACTGGAAAGGTGGGTCTTCGGCAAACCTTTATACCCAAAAAGATGCTAATTTAAGTCAAAATTTACTAAAAATTTTTTTTTCTCAAACAGCGATGATTGAAAAAAATATTCGTTCAAGCTCTAGTGTATCTTGAAGACCTGTTTAAAATTTCAAAAAGATTGGTTGAGTAGTTTTCGACCATGCGTTTAAAGCGCTGAGCCTACCTGCCTTAGAACGTGCAGATTCTCAACACCATACCTTCGAAACTCTTATTAGAATTGACTTATAAATGAAGGGTAATATTCTCGAAATGTTGATCGTTTGAGGCCGTGAGACCCTTGTAATCGTTTAAGTCTAGTTATGAAGGAGAATGTTTGTAAGTAGAGGATTTTTCGATTTTTTTCAGAACTCAAGTAAAATCAATTTTTTTTTTTTAATTAAAGGTCTTTTAATTGGAAGGTAGGTGGTTTTCTGAACTTTCATCTTCTTCTTTGCTGCTGTAGGCACCGTTCATAGCCGATTTAATAACATAACGCCATTCATTCCTACTTTTCGCTGTTTGACACCAATTGCAAAAGCCAATTACAGTCTTTCTCTACCTGGTATTTTCAACGGTGTAGAGGTTTTTCTCTTCGTCTGCTTACACCGGCTGGTGCTGCATCGTATTCTTTCAAAGATATCCGGATCACATGACAAAGTCAGCGTTGTTCTTGGCAATAGCGATTCTGCGCTAGATTTGCAGACTGACATTGTTGTTGATCTTAATACTGGTTTCAAGATAGACTACGACTTCATAGTTATATATAGTTATATAAGTGTCAACCTGAACCTACATATGTATGTCAGTTATTTTTGGTACAGCTCCTGTACCGAAAAGAAAGTGTTTTGTTGTTTCATGCCTTAAAAACTCGATCTTGAGTCAAGTGGGGGTTGGAAAGTAAAAACTTCGTCACCTGGGAGAAAGGTTTAGTTGTTATCCGATCGAACCTACTCTGCCCTTTGTCGACTGGGTATGTTAACACTTTAATTTAATATTTGCTTAATGGTTAAGGTAATTTTCATACTGTTCGAAATTACTGTTGTGGGAAGTTTCATTACATTTAACATTTCTTACTTGAGTTATCGGCCAGACCATTTTATGATGTTTTTCTGAGCAGATTTTGAATAAACGATTTATCAGAAAGAGCACACACGGATAAATGAAGCTGGAAATTATTCCAAATTTTTTCATATCACAAATATACTCGGAGGTATTGTCATTCTCTGTCTATGGCTAAGAACATGGTTCATGACTCTTTGCATAGTATAAGAGAAGGAGCTTAGGGTAAGAAAGAATATTTGTCACGGAGTCGAACTTAATCATATAATAAACTTGTAGCCCCTAGACACACATATATATACATTTTTTAGGATCTCTTTATACAATATATTGGTATTTATAAAACCGTACATAGCTTTGTCTTGAACTACTCCTCCCTACATTTGCAAAAATTAAAGAGCTTTTAGTGCCGAGGCATGCTATCAAAAAACAACACCTGAGTTCTTTTAAGTTTCAGATCGAAGGGGCATGTACATGGCCATGCAGTCTTGGACCACTGTGGATGATATATTGGTGTAGTAAAAAGTTATTCATTATTTTTTCCAATAGATGGTGTTATTTATCTATATCTCGCGTTGTATAAATTCGATCGGGTACCGATAGATGGCGTTAGAAAGATGATATTACGTACTAAGAAAACTTTTCTGACAGTTTTGATTGGTTGGACCTTCGCAAGCAGGAAGTACGCTATATTTTACAGTCTTTCTTCGACAGGGGCGAAAACGCAAGTCAGCGGAGGAGAATAAGAAAAGTATTTATGTTCCTGACACTGCATTCCGGTAATTTTGATGTAAAAGATGCTTCACGGAGTGGAATACCATTCGAAATGATCGAAAATGTCGATAAAATCATGCATATTGTCGAGTTCGACCATCATGTAAGCACTGTTTTGATTGCCCAAAAGCTAAAGGTTGCACAAAAAAAAACATTTGTAACCATTTGAACAAGGCTGGATGCGAAATGAAAAAAATTAAAAATTCAATTTTGTGCAAAAATAATGGATTTCTTTTTACTACTTTTAATATTTTCTTGTTTATATTACTAACGACCCTATTTAATACTCACTTGACCTATAACCAACTCATGAGCTTCACTTGGTGTTTTGAAGTTAAAGTGTCAATTTCGTAGCGACTACAAACGGCCACTAAAGTTGAATGGTTAATAGTGTGTACTGCCATTAGGAAAGCCAGACTGCGGGCAATACAACCAAAATGACAGAAAATTAGCTTTTTTACCTACGGTCGATCCTCGGCAGAAAATGTCAAGTTCTCCGAGTGTGTTTTTGATATGTGAGCCTCATAAAAAGACAGCCCCCTTTCGCAGGCTTCTTAGAATAATTTGATATGGACACCAGAAACTACAGAAGGAGATTGCCCGAAAACCGCTTCTGAAGTTACAAAGCGTCAATTGCATATACTCGTACATATTTATGTATATACACATATAAACGTCAGCCGAAAAAACCTAATATACTTTCAGAGCACAGTCGAGCCAAGTATTAAGAAATTGAAAGCCATTAGCATCGACTCCACTAACACTCGTCTCGCCACATTGCCGCCACAATAGCAATTATTTTAACACTCAGACACTTTTGATAGTACTATGGGGGTGCGTTAGTGATGAGTATATGAATGAGTAAAAGTGTACTGAATAAAAATATATAATTTGCTTATACCAAAGTAAACAAATGAAACGTATAAACCGTGATATTCTCGATAACAGTTACAACTTGTAGCAAGCAAATAATACAATTAAATAACGAAAATATAATAATATTCAATGCAATACTAACTCACTTACCTTCATCACGCCTACCTTCACCACCATCGCCACCACCACCACCATCTCCAGCTCCAACTCCAGCACGCACTTTGTCTGCATTAACACTTTGTCTCTTCACATGTTCACCTTCTGCCAGGGAAATTAAACTACTGCTGAAAGCATTGAGTAGTTCTTCAATTGTTTTTGAAGCATTCTATGAAAAAAAATCAACAAAAAAATATTTCATATTTCACTATAACGAGGAAAAAACCAATATTTAAAAACCTAAAATTTTAAAAATATAAAAAAAAAATATTCAACTAAAAATTCTTTTTACACAAAGAACGTAAAAATATACAAATTTCCAATAGGAAACGCGCAAAAACAAAAAAAATCGCCAGCAGATAATTACATGTATGTACGTATATGTACATGTGAGCCAAACGACGCTGAAGAGAGATACATAGGAAAATTGTAATAAAAAACAGTGCAACAATAAAACTGTTAGCAACAACAACAACTATTGTTAACCATTGCTAACCAAACAAACAACGAAACGCGCAACAAGTGAAGTCCTTGACTTAGAAAATTTTCATTTACGAATTTTCGTGTTTTGTTTTGTTGCTAAAATACGTTTATTTTGGCGGTAAAGAAAACTGTATAAATAAGTCAGGAGCAAGGATAAAGAAAAGCAAGCGTTAGCAGCAGCAACAGCGCCAAAAGCACTTCGGTAATTGTAGAAAGGAGTAACGCATAAAGCAGCTTTCAAAATGGTGAGTTATGAAAATATGTAAAATTTTGAGCAAAAACCTTTGCGACGGCCAAAAGTTTATCTGGTAAATGCTCATCACTGTTTTCAAAACAAATTTTCCGACGCTATTTTTCAATTAAGGAAAAAAATTAAATCAATTTCATTTTTAAAGTAAACTCATTGAAAACGTACGTATTTTCGAAAATTTTTAAAGTGTTTTTCTTTTTTTTCGAAAACAAGTTTGTAGAAATTATTGTTTGCATATATTTTTCTCTACATCTTTTTGTTTTTGTATTAATGGCCAGCTGTTTCTTACTGCTGGTTGAGTCTTGCAAATTTACATGTGAATAGAAGTGTTAATTAGATGTTGAAATGAACGTTTGAATTGATTTAATTTGTTTCGATTTTTTGTTTTTTTGTAAAAAAGGAAAAAATTTAATTGAAAGATGCAGTCAAAGTAACCTGATTGTTCTACGTCATTTTATTTTTATGTTTTTTTTTTAAGTTTTTTTAAGTGATATTTTAAAATGGCGTCTTATAAATAATAATAAAGTTCTGAGCTAGCTTTTTGGGTTACAATAAAAGCGGAATGGAGGGAAGAAAACAATTTAAATTTTACATATTTATATTTTAGGGTATTCCCTAACATTGTTAAAATATATTTATTTTTATTTTTTTTTTCTTATTAAATGCCTTCTTGGGAATTAAAATAAACTTATATAAAAATAATAGCTCTGTTCAAACCGCTGAAAACTGTTATTAAAAAAACTGTAATAATGTTATCATATATACATATATATATGTATGTATGTAGATATTAAGCAATTCCTTTAATTTTTGTAAACACTTTGTACTACCACCCCTTCGTATGAGTGATTATTTTGATTAGAAGTTCCTTGATAGTAATTACTCATACGACATGTTATCCTTTTTGAATTAGTTTAATGAGATAAGTTTTTAAAGAGTTTGAATTAAATTGAATTGGAAATGCAGGGTGGTAGAGGTTTGGAAAACTAAAATTCTGTGATAAGAGTGGTGCATGTATATTAAGACCCCACTTTACCTATAAACACAGGAGAGATACCACACACTTGCTAAGGAGCAAAATCAAATAGTTTGATATATAATAAAATAAGACAATATAAAATAAAATGAAATAATTTAAATTAAAATAAGATAACAAATCAAAATAAAATAAAATAAAATAAAATAAAATAAAATAAAATAAAATAAAATAAAATAAAATAAAATAAAATAAAATAAAATAAAATAAAATTAAATAAAATAAAATGAAATAAAATCAAATAAAATAAGACAATATAAAATAAAATGAAATAATTAAAATTAAAATAAAATAACAATATAAAATAAAATGAAATTATTTAAATTAAATAAAATACAATAAAATAAAGTAAAAAAAAATAAAATAAAATTAAATTAAATTAAATTCAATTTAGTTAAATTAAATTAACTTAAATAAAGTAAAATAAAATAAAATGAAACTTTGTAAAATAAAATAAAATAAAAATAAATTAAATTAAATTAAATAAAAAAAATTAAAGAAAAAGAAATAAAATAAAATAAACTAAAACAAAATATAATAAAGAAAATAATTTTCTTTTATGTATGGGTGAAAATCATACAGAGGTCCGAAAAGTGAAAAGTCCTCCTTATAATAAGTGCCCTGGAGTAGATTCCTGATACATTCTGATACGGTTTGAGTGAGTGAGTTTATTCTGTTTTGCAGAACTAAGATTAACTAAGATTATTTAATTGTAAAATTGGAAATCGGCTTAAAAACTGTTTTGAAGAAAAAAAAATTAATTTGTTATTTTGAAAAAAAAAAAAAAAAAAAATTAAAAATATAAATAAAAAAATGCAATATCTATGTATTGATTTCTAAGAGATACACACATATGTATAATGAACTAAAACCTTTAAAACTGTGTATGCAGAAGAACTCATATTTAAAAAGAATTCGCAAAACAAGTTACCAGAAGAAGGTATAAGAATAACTACTTTCTGGATATTCTGAAATTTAGAGCTTCTGATTTGATATTAAAATGATCATTCCAAATATTACGATTATATATAAAAGCTGCGGCAGCAACAATATCGAGTTTTGCTTTTATTTTCATTCGAATGCTTGAATTTTCGATTAAACAACTCATTCAAATAATTCATTTTTTTCAATTTTTTGTGTTTTTAAAATTTCATTTAAACTGTCAACTATCATTTGACAACGCCAATGCCAAAGCGTGATTTCGAATCAACACTTGATTATTGACATAATGTGTTTGCAAAAATTAACAATCAACTGTCAATATGTGAATAGTAAAAGGAGGCGAAAGAAGCAATTAAAAAGGAAGCAATAAAAATTACAAAAAATAAAAAATAAAAAAATTTAATAGAATATCTTTTTATGTATAAGATTTCAAGTTTAGTGGAATTTATTTAAATTATTTAATATTTGCAAAATCGCTTTATGGCGCGATGACGACGTTACATCATCAGAAAGTCACGGTTTTGTGTGTTCTAAAGACAGCAGGAATCATTGGTCCATATTTTTTCATAAATTAAGCCAGCCAAAATGTCAATGGTGAAAACTTCAAATCCTTGACTAATAAACTTTTATAAAGCTGAATTCTCTGCACTAAAAAAAAATTATATGCATTTTCTTTCTTTTTAAAAACCACAACCAAAAAAAAACACCCTTTATTTTAAGCTAAAGTTCCACTCTATTTATTTAACTAAAACCGTAAATAAAAATAATAAATAGTATGAACAAGTATGCACCATTATTAGCAAATATTTATAAATAAATAAAAAAAATTTTCAGATCTCAATCTTTATAATTTCATTGTTTAATTATTTATTTATTTATTTTCTTAAAAAATTGAGTAAATACTTAGAGGCATTAGACGGAAAATTTCTCTTTCTATATAAAAATTAAACTGCTGCAGATGTCGTAAGAATAATGATTTTTATATATTTATGCATATACAGGGCTATCTATTTCGCGGTATCGAAAATAAACGTAAATAAAATGCAATTAAAATAATTTGTTACATGAAATTCATTTTATATTATAAAGTTTGAGACTTGGCTTTGTATCTGTGACACTACATCATTCAAATGACTGCCTAGGGAGTTTTGGTAAACTTCGATCGGTGTCAGGCAATTTTCGACCACTTTTTGGCATACAGCGGGCAGTATCTCAGCCATAACTTCACGAATGTTGGTTTTTAAGTGCTCAATAGTTAAAGGTTTACCTACATTAACACGATTTTTCGCTTAACCTTACAAAAAAAGTCCAAGTCGATGGCCAATTGAAATCGCTAAGACAAGAGTATACGCGACCGAGAGATATTTTTCGCCATAAAACCATATTCGATAGTATTGTACGGTATGTTAGAACTATCATGTTCCAACCACAAATCGTGTGCTTCAATTTCCGGCAAAGAAAAGTCGGTTATTATACGACCTTAATGCTCCGAATTGACACTGATTGTCTCGTAGTTGTCATTTTCAAGGCAGTGAGACCAAAGGACGCACCAGACAGTAAGTTTTTCTGGCTGTAAGGACCCATTTTCAATTATTTGAGGGCTTTGGAGCACTAAAATGACTAAATTGGTTTTATTTACATATCCCCCTAGTGAGAATTGTGTCGCGTCGCTGAAGAAACATTGATTCAATGCTCAGCTGGCGTCAGTTGTTGTGAGAGCTGGACTTTATATGGATGTAGGTGTAAGTTGCAAGTGGAAAAAACGTCAAGGAAGCCGAAAAATATGCACATTAGGGGCTTCGAATAAACCAAACCAGTGACGCAGAGGTCTTAGGAGATCTTTAACTGAGCCGGTCTCTCCAAAGTTGTTTCAAATTTTTCTGATTGCTTGAGTAGTTTGACATTAATTGCGCCACTTTTGAATGACCGATATTGTAGTAGACTCTAACAATTTCAATGTGGTGTGCGGTTGTGAAGCGGTCCACTTTCATAAATGTCTGACTTTAAAATAAATCAGATGCTAAAAGAAACCACAAAATGGATAACCCCGTATTTGATGACGAGAACTTATTATAATTATTCTAACAATCATTTGCACACATACATATATATACAAATGTACATACGTGTACATATATCTGTTTATTAAAATTATATTTGCTTACCTATTGATGTCGGCAAAAATTTGTAATAACGAAAAATGTTTGTATGTATCTGTGTATGTGCATAGGAATTGCAAAAATCACATTAAAATACTTGAACGCACATTCTCACATACCATATGTAGTTAAGTAAATAGGTACCATAGATGTACTTATATACATGTATATGTACATACATTTGTATTTCGCATACGTGCTAAATTGTTAAAATAATCTTGCTTTTGTTTGCGAATTTCGACGGAAACGATAAGTGATTAGCAAAATTTATTTATATGGAGTTTTGCCGATTGTTAGAGTTGCGAAGAGCAAAAACAAAATAATAATAATAGAATTTACATCTATATATGTATGTATAAACACTATACACGGTATATATATACACACATATATATATATATATATATATATATATATGTTGAAACAAGGGCAGGAGGTCAGGAGGGTAGGAGCATCGAATTGACTACGCAAGAATTTATCCACAAAGTTGAGAAATTGTTCACGACGATACTCGACTAAAGAACAGACAACTCACAAAAACAGTTGGAGTATCCGATATTACCATTTTTAAAATCGTGTCCGATCATCCATGACTGAGTGAGTATGGTATGGATACCGAGAATGCGCAGAAGGTAGGCTTCGATATTTTGAACCACCAACCCTAAAGTTCTGATTTGAATCCGAAAGCCTATTACCTGTTTTCAAAAATGAAAAAAAATCTGAGCGAAAAAATCCAATGATGAAGGCAAGGAGGTAATTTCGACAGAGTTTGAGGATGGAGTGTAAATATTTTTTATCTACTTATGGTGCTGCTCTATCTCTTTCTCAGATCTTACTTTCTGTATCTAGACCATTCAA